GATCCCGGGACTCCAGGATCATGACCTGAGCCGAAGGCAGTCGCTTAACCAACTGAGCCACCCAGGCGCCCCCTTGCTCACTCTCTTTTTAAAAAATCACTGAAATTAAACAGGAAAACAATAGAGAAATCAGTGAAACAAGAAGTGATTCTTCTAAAATAATAAAATTGATAAACCTCTAGCAAGTTAGACAAAGATAAAAAGAGAGGACATAAATACCAGTATCAGGAATCAAACTACAGATTCTACAGACACCGGAAGGATAAAAAAAAGGGAGTATCAGGAACAACTTGGCACTCATAAATTTGAAAACTTAGAAGATAAGTACCAATTCCTCCAAACCACAAGGTACCTGTGATGGTTAATTTTATGTGTCAACTTGACTGGGCTATGGGGTGCCCAGATAAGTAATCCAACATTATTTGTGGGAATGTCTGGGGGTGGTTCATGGAGCTGTTTTGCTTGCACATGCAGAGAGCTGGCAATGCCTATGAGTTGACGTTCACCCTTACACAATACTGTTCGTCCTCACCTGCAAGCCATGGACAGTCTTTACACCATGACTGGCCGATGTGGGAGTATGAAAGGTTGGTTCCTTTGGCTCAAGTAGAGACAAACTCTGAAGCACAATTTATGCTCAGAGTCCCCCTGGTGGATCATGCTGAAGCAATCCTCCACAGGGATATTGCCAGAAATTATACACTTGTTTAGCTTCTTCCTGTTTCCTGTTAAGCTTCCTCCATTCTCTTACCAGGTTCTCCTGGGAACACTTCTTTAAGTCAATTGCTTGTATATGGGGGTGCCTGGGTGGCTCAGTCGGTTAAGTGTCTCACTTTGGCTCAGGTCATGATCTCAGGGTTATGAGATTGAGCCCCGGGTTGGGCTCTGTGCTCCGCGGGGAGTCTGCTTAAGATTCTCTCTGTCCCTCTCCTGCCTCTCTCCACCGTGCTCTTTCTCTGTTAATCAATTTTTTTTTTGATTTTATTTATTTGAGAGAGAGAATGAGAGAGAGAGAGCACATGAGAGGGGGGAGGGTCAGAGGGAGAAGCAGACTCCCTGCCGAGCAGGGAGCCCGATGCGGGACTTGATCCTGGGACTCCAGGATCATGACCTGAGCTGAAGGCAGTCGCTTAACCAACTGAGCCACCCAGGCGCCCCTCTGTTAATCAATTTTTAAAAATTCCATGTACATGAATTCTCATCTCAGCATCTGCTTCTGGAGAACCCACCCTGAGACAAGGGGGGTTACTTCTTATTCCCCCAGTTTTCAGGTAGAGGGACATTTATTAAAGTAACACTTCTCTGTGTCCTTCACTTACTTTCCTCCCTGGGAGGAGGAGTGACATGCTGAATTGTGAATTTGGAACTAGGAATTTGGTATATGTTGATAGATCAGATGTTCTGTGAACCCGTAGATAGTGGTGCTGGCTGAGGCCTTCCTTGTGGGCAGTTAAGGCAAATCCATACTTGACATATGTGTCAGTCTCTGCCAGAATGAAGCACTGACCTTTCCAAAGGGAAGGGGTCAAAATAAAATCATTTTGACACTAAGTCAGTGGTTGTTATCCTCAAGGGATGGTGCCATATTGGGGATTTAGTGTTGGTCTCTGTTGCTGGAAGGTCAGATATTTGGCCACGGCAATATGTAGATCAGTCTTGGCAAGAGGAAGACCATGCTACTGGGCCCGTGCATGGCCTCCATCTCTGTCACCGTGGCTGATACCAGCTGGCCAGTTCGTCCTGTCTCCTTGGTCATTTAGTGCTGCTTCTGCTCTCTGGTGGGTGTTAACGTGAGAAGACAAAACCTTCATGTTGTGCCTTTCCTCTAAGTCCACCCACATGCCTCTTCCTCAGACCTCCTCTACCCCAGTCTTTCCATCTTTCCGTCCCAAGCCCCTGACCAGCCAACCAAACCATCCACTGTGCCCATGAACCAATATATGTTATAACCCCAGGAACGCTTCTTCCACACAAAGTGGATGACCAGGTGTACCACCAAAAGCTCTGCCTGTGTCTTTCATAGAAATCCTCGAGTGTGGCCAGAGGGAAGCACCTACACATTTTC